GACATCCCTCAAATAAAATTGAATAAATGAACAGGGGGAAGACCAAGATGCAGCAGTGCAAATATCTTCCACTGACAATCCTCCGTGCAAAGCCGTGGAGGAGGAAATTCCTCTGGTGGAGTGCGCATTGATGTTCTCCGGGGGATCCACCCCCAGAGGAGACATATGCCTGCGACACAGCCTCACACAGCCAGTGTGACAGCCGTTGTGCAGACAGAGGTTGCCCGATCGAGCGCTCTCTATAATGCACAAACAGGCGCTGAGAACGGCGCAAGGCAGCCGTGTGCACCACATAGCAGGACAGCGCGCGCACAGGACAGAGGAGATGAGACGTGGCTTCTTCCTCCGACCTGTGAGGAGGCGGAAAGAAGCCATCCAAGGTGATCACTCTTGACCTAAAAGAGCTTGTGATGACCTTTGCCATAAAAGCCGGGTTAGGGCGTAACACAGCTGAACTGCCATCTCCTTGGATCCGGAGGCATGACGGAGCCACAGAGAGAGCAGACAAATCACTCACCCTTTTCGCTGATGTTAGAGCCAAAAGCAGTAGTCCTACTACTTTGGCTGATAACAGTTTAAGGGGAACCTGATCAGGTTCAAATGGGGCTTTGCTTTAGTGCGCGCAACATCAACGCCAAATCCCACTGAGGCGCCAGTGCGCGTGACACAGGTCTGAGTCTTCGTACTCCTCGAAGAAAACGTTTCGTCAGGGGGTGACTAAACAACGTCCCAACCCCCGAAACCCACGTGACAAGATGATATGGCAGCAGCATATACCTTGATTGTGTTGAAAGTAGGGCTGTCCGTCGATTAAAATATTTAATCGCGATTAATCGCAAATTAATCGCACATTTTTTATCTGTTCTAAATGTACCTTAGAGGGATATTTTTCAAGTTTTTAATACTCTTATCAACATATGAGTGGACAAATATGCTTTATGCAAATATTTATTATCATTTGAACAATGACAAATATTCTCATGAATATTAAACACAACAACCTCTTAACATTACAAATATTCGCCTCAATTCAACCTGGAACCTCTCTCATACAATAATACAATACTGTGTGTGTGTGTGTGTGTGTGTGTGTGTGTGTGTGTGTGTGTGTGTGTGTGTGTGTGTGTGTGTGTGTGTGTGTGTGTGTGTGTGTGTGTGTGTGTGTGTGTGTGTGTGTGTGTGTGTGTGTGTGTGTGTGTGTGTGTGTGTGTGTGTGTGTGTGTGTGTGTGTGTGTGTGTGTGTGTGTGTGTGTAGAGACACTGTGATCGATCGTTGGAGCTATGTGAAACTCAAGGCATATGCTCGAACTGCCTGGACGCTGCAATCATGTTGCGTGCACTATCCGTGCTGACTGTTCGTACAATGTCCCACTGTCTGGCTACCTGCATAAAGTCAAGTGCTCAGCGCAGTTGTCGGCGAAATGTCGCTCCTCTGATTTCATCGCTGCGAGGGGGACCCAAGTTCCCAACGGTGAAAACACGTGGGTTTGCTGTCCTGGCTCCAGGATGGTGGAATGAGCTCCCCATTGACATCAGGACGGCAGATAGCTTGCACATCTTCCGGCGCAAACTGAAAACTCATCTCTTTCGACTCCACTTCGAGCGATAGAACTATTAACGAAGCACTTTTATACTAATAAAGGACTGGCTTTTCTAAAGCCAGTTGAGTAGCACTTGAAATGTTTTTGCTCTATGAAACCTGATGTACTTATATGATTCTGTTTTCTTCAAGTTGTATTTTGTTGGACGAACGCACTTATTGTAAGTCGCTTTGGATAAAAGCGTCAGCTAAATGCAATGTAATGTAATGTAATTTAAACAGCTCCTTATATCCGTTAGCGCAGCTAGCTAGCACCAGATGACAACAACAACAACAATACACGTAAGGTCTCTCTCTCGCTCGCTCGTGCCACACATACACATACCCTCCCGGTCCTCCCGATGGCCAGTCGGTGCCTGCCGGTGAGCGTGGAAGTGTGGTCTGCCGCAAGCTGTCAGCATCAGCTTGTAGATGGTATTTTAAACTCGATGCGCTCTGAAACTACGGGGCGGCCGAGGACAAAAAATACACATGCGTTAATCGCGTTAAAATAATTAGTGGCGTTAATTTTTTTTTGCGTTAACGCGTTATTGACGCGTTAACTTGACAGCCCTTGTTGAAAGCCAAATTCCTGTCCAACAACAGCTGGAGGAATGACAGCACATGAGGCAGGGGGCACGTAATGGGGTCCAGGCTTTTTTCTACACACCAACGCTGGAACGCTGTCCACTTGGCTGTGTAGGACGCTCTGGCCCTGGCTCCCTGAATAGTACGTACAACATCTTGAGAGAGGCCCAACCCCTCTAAGTGTTTCCGTTCAGGGGCCATGCCCATAAGTGCTGGCCTATCACTGGGTGACTGCTGATCGCTCCCTCCACCTGCGAGAGAGCGTCCCCGCACCACGGAATTTCCCACGGTCTGCCTGACAGCGTACGCTGTAGGCATGGAAACCAGGAAGCGCCCGTGCACTCCGGGGCAATTAGAATCACTGACTGTCACTCCTCCTGTACTCGGTCCAGGAACCGAGGGATCAGCGGGACTGGTGGGAAAGCGTACAACAGTCCCCTGGGCCATGGACGATGTGCGAACGCGTCCACCCCCATGGGGGGGTGGTCCTGCGCTTTCAGGGAGAACCAGAGGGCGCATTGCGCGTTCCCGCGTGCGGCAAACAGATCCACCTCTGCTCTCCCGAACCGGCTCCAAACCTGGGAGATCAGCTCGGGATGGAGGCTCCAGTCCCCCTGGCTCCTCTGGACATGAGGTCTGCCCCTCTGTTCAATTCGCCGGGAACATACATTACATACATATTGCTGTGGGCGTCTCTCCGCCTGCCGCTGTGGCCGGGTTGGACGCTGCGGCTGCTGCGGCTGCTGCGGCTGCTGCGGCTGCTGCTGCGGCTGCTGCGGGCGTTGGTGCCGCTGTGACCGCCCAGCAGGCTGAAGCCAGCTAACGTGCTGGCGGATGTCGTCCGCCTGTTCCGCAGCCACTTCATGGACTCCACCATGGCGTGGAACTGGGGTCCGAACACCCCGTCCGGGCTGATCGGAGCGTCCAGTAGTACCTTCCTGGCCGTCTCTGTAACCGACGCCTGCTGCAGCCAGAGGTGGCGCTGAATCTGCGTCATCCACGCAGCGATCATTGCCTGGGAGACAGCAACGGACGCGCACAGCGTGAGCGCCGTGCTGGCCGCCTTGCTGATCTCCTCCGCCTCATCCGCAGCCAAGGTGGTGGACCGCTCCACCAGCGCCACCACCGAGTTGGAGAGCAGCGCGATGTTGTTCGCCGCCTGGTGCGCCCGGTCGGCCTGGCGGGCGACATACTGGTCCCTGGGGGAGGCCAACGTAGGGCGCTGTCCGGCGATCATGTTGGCCTGTCTAACCCCAAAGAACGCCGTCAGGCTCGGCTCCAGAGAAGGGGTGGTTGGGAAACCAGCATCCGTGAACCCCTCCACCTTGGTGAAGGGAACAAATGTGGACACCAGAGCCCTCAGGGTCCTCAGGTTCGCCGCCGCCCCCTCCTGATACCTCCTGATGGCGGGGAAGCGTGGCCAGACCGGATCACTCCTGACCGTCTGCACCCGGGAAAAAACTCCAGCCATGTCGTCCAGAGCACACCTCTCCCGACCTAGGGGAACGGGGAGACCTCTGCAGGCGGCCGCCTTGCAAATGATCTCCGGCAGTTCCACCATGATGCCACCTAGCGCCGGCAGCGCCGTGGTGACGGAGAAGGGGACCGCATGCTCGGCCGCCAAACCGGCACCCTGCTCACTCCTGACCCTCCAAACCACGTTACTGAAGCACAGAGACACTTCATTTACAGAGTCAACCATGAGCAGCAACTGTGTAAGAGATTGGCCGACAGGAAGCGAAGAGCGGACGCTCTCGCTGCTGCGACCGAGGGGAGACGGGCAGAGTGTGAGCATGCGACCTGCTGGCTGAGAGCCGCGTACGCGTGCTCTGGCCCCAGGCAGGATTCGCACATCGTGTGCTGGTCGTAGCTCATAATGTATCCAGAGCCACATGAGGGACAATCTCTTACACAGTTGCTGCTCATGGTTGACTCTGTAAATGAAGTGTCTCTGTGCTTCAGTAACGTGGTTTGCTGAAGAAAAGAGGGAGCAGATTGTCGGGCCTCCTTCCTATTTATACCGGAAGGGAGCCCGGGGGTGGGGCCCACCTTGCGGGTGGGCGTGGATTACAAGTGTTTCAGTGCTGTGCGGGTGCGCAGGGGGATTACCCAATAGCGATAGAGGGCGAAGCCATATACGAAATAGAACAGTTCCCTCGACAAAAAAGCAATGGGATTTCTCCATAGGATTTTGGAAAATAGCTCGAAATAAGGTCTGTGGATGTTTTGTTCAGCCGGATAATATCCACATGTCTACCCTACTTTTATAATTTTCGAATCATAAATCTAATCGCCAGAAGCAAAATGCTAACGTTATGCTATAAACAAACTACAGCAGGGATGCTGCTTCAACGTCACGCCAATTTAGGATCGATATTCAAAAATGTAATCTTGGGAACCGGTAGTGGTAAAATGCTATACCTCACTTCCAGGTTTTAGGACTCGTCACTGCACCACTCTATAAGGCTATGCCTCACAAATGCAGCAGTTTTAGTAAAGCAAGGGGGATAATTGTGCTGCAACAGCTATTACTTCAGGACTGCCATGGCAAAATATATTTTAGCCATTTCCCTCAGTAGACCTAACACATGTGTATGTGTCTGTGTGCATTTGCAATATTAACCATTTTCATCTTTTGCCTCTTGTTCCCTACTTCATCTCTCCTTCAAAATCTTTGCTGTCTGTTGTCATTAACATATTTTCTCTCCTGCAACTATTTGACTTCCCTTCTTTAAACCTACTATATCATGTCATCTCATTCCTTCCTCACTCCATTATATCTTGCCTCTCTTTTCCTTCATCCATATCCCCACTTAAACCCTTTCCCCACCAGGTCTTTATTGCACAAACTGTGCTGTCCGGACGTCCTCTCCAGATCAAATACCTACTGCTGTGGCTCCGCTTCGCCACCTTCAACCAGATCCTGGATCCCTGGGTCTACATCCTGTGCCGAAGAGCCATGCTTAAAAGAGTCGCCCCCCGCATCGACTGGTCTCGCAGCTCCATCATGTCTTTGCCCCCATCTTTTGGCGACACCGTCCGAAGGTTTACCCGCTCATCACTACGGAGCACCATGAACCAGGAAACCGCAGGAGACCGGCGGAAATCTGACCTCCCACCTCCTTCTCCGTGATTGTTTGGATTTGGGTTTTGCGGCCAGCTGAGTGATATTGTTGTGGAAACTGGAGGTGACAGTGTTTTCAAGCTCTGTGACCAAAATACCAATACTGTGACCAAAATAAGAAACAGAATATGAACAATTTGTAATGTTGTTATTTGTTTGCATAGCACTGAAAGCTTTAGCAGTATTAGCAATGACACTTTAATTTAGAGCAGTTTATAGAATACAACAGTGGCTGATTGGAAACGTATTCAAGTTTAAAAGATGGATACAATCGGTCTCTGTAACTACAGATATGCACTGCACATTCTAGGTGTACTGCTCCATCAGATGTGTATTGTGATATATGAGGTTTGAACAATGTACTTTTTCTTGTAGGACATTATATATCTTAAGCTTGTACTTTGCTCAGTTGCTCTCTAGAGTGTCCCATACATTTGAGGAATAGGTATGTAGCTAGCTATGATTTAAGGTTCATGCTAAAGTGTGTGTTCTATTGTTATAAGTGTTCACTATAACTTATATAGAGGCTCTTGGAAAGGATTGGACCATGGACGAATCCTGGCAACGTGTAGGTTGACTTGCTCTCGTTTATTAATCACCGATGCACAACACGTTACATCATAAAGGTTCCTACCCTATTTCAAACCGGAGAGACGTGATGTAAGAATTACATATTTATTGTTTACACGTCATATGAATGAAATGATTGCCATGATAATACAACAGGAGAATGTAATGGTGTTTGTCGATTAGGCCCCGGTTTGCAGGATAATCATTCAGGAGGGAAAGAACCGCTCCGATGAAATCCCTGGGGTCTAGACACTGGTGGTGGTGATGAGTAGGTGAGACCGGTCTGAAGGAGGAAGGTTTAGCTTTGTCCTGAAGGAGACGGGAGGCGAGAGGGGTGGAGGCGGGTTGCGTGTGATCATCTGCAATGACAACTGACAGGGAGGAAGAGCAGGCATTTAAGGAATTTAGCATGTGCAGCGATTGGCTGCTGAGGGGTGACGCCCTCGTATTTAATGAGGGGGGAAGGGAGCCATAGAGTGCCGTGTAAGTGACTCGTGTTAGGTCTTCCTTATTGAACTTGCGCTAAAGCTTTCATTATGCCTGATATTACAGTGTGTATTCGTGTTTTGTTCTTTTTCTGAAAGTATTTACACTGAAACTGTTTGGAGACAACTTTGTATGTTGAAGGAACTATGACGGTGGAACAGTTGATCCCCAGAGCATCCAACAATGATCCTAATCTTGTAGAAAATAGTTTTGACTAAATAGAAATTTAGCTTAGGCCCCCTAAGAACTGTATTCTTAATATAATACTTGTTCTGATGATTCACTTTATTCAAACCAAACTTTGCAGATCTTGTAATGATCACTTGTAATTTTACTATAGATTTGAATATGATCCTCTGGCCACATTAATGTTTGACAGAAGAGAAATAACTGCAGAATAAAGCAATGCCAATGAGAATGTGATTATCATAACAAAGATACATATTTATGCAGAACTTGCAAATGCAAAGTTTATGTTGTGAATGTTAGACACATCTTTAGTACTTTAGCAATTTGAAATGTAATTTGTTGTATGAATCCAAATTCAGCCGGATCATTTGGGAAGTTAAATTACAAACATTGTAGCTGTATTGTAATAGATTTAAATGCACTATATTATGGCTGTATTTCAATATAATGAAACTGATTACATTCTTTATTTGTGATTTCTAATGTACCTACATTAGTCACACTGATCTTTTATACATTGTATCACTCATATCAATGTGCCACTAAATCACCAAACCAATATATAATAACAGCTAAAATGTGTTTTGCTTTAACTCCTTATTTGTATCATCCGGTGTCAATGAAGTGTACATGTTGAATGTGGTTGACAGATGGCATGTGATTGGACATATAAATAAAGGATTAGTGAAATGCGGAACATCTGAAATATTTTTTAAATGACTTTTCTGTTAAAACACAGGCTTGATAACTCATTTTGAATATTTTTACAATTTAAACATGTGAAGTCTGCCATGCATTTTAATGTCTCAATAGAAAGATGCAATCATAAACAAAGTGGTGAAACAAAACCAGACAAATGCAGATTTAAGTTTAACCTAAATAAATATAGTTGAGTCCAACTGCATTTCAGCGTTTACTTACCTGCATTTAAATAATATGACATTATACCTTCACATTGTTTGAGTGAGAAAACATAATTGTCAAAATCTAAGATGTAATTTGATGCCTCAATGCGGTGAGAGTATACATTGACACAAAGTCAAGTATAAAGACTGTCATAAACTGCTCAAGCATATTTACATTCTTTACTTGAAACAAACCAGAAGAGTTTCCTGTGAACTCATGGCAAAAGTGGGAAGCAAGTTAATATGTGATACAATGTTATTTTGCATGATGACCTTTATCCATACAGATTTTAGGCAAAATGACACATGCATCAGCAAACTTTATTTGAGGTTGTTTTGGAATTGTGTGGACATTATGGGCATGGTTCCTGTGTGAGATCACAATTTGGGTAAGTTTCTTGAACTTAGTGTTATTTGCGAGTTCAAATTCAGATCAGTCAATATAAATGAGATGATTTCAAATATGATATCTTTCTGCAATGGGGCCACTTGTTAATTTCAAAAAGCCTGAAACAGAAACCAATTCCTGATAAATATAATGATAACCTGGTGCAATGATATTACAAGTTATAAATCCTGCACATAGATCATAGCTGGATTTGATTGTTAATAATTGAAAAGCAGTAATACATTCTGACTTTCCAATGACACAAAGATGTATCGTTGTTTGTCTCCTGTTTTCCCCACTGGGTTTCATCAAAGGAGAAATATTTACTGTAGCGAACTTCCCTATCTAACTTCCTTGATTCCCAGATGTCCGGCTGATTGGCCTCTGTTATGAAGTTGTGTTTCCTGATGTGTTGTGGACTTGAATGACTCTTTACATAATGTTTTATGCGTATGTACGAGAAAGGGAGCCCCCAAAACATGTTTTTAACTTTTGTCTTTAATCAGAATTAGAATAAGATTGTATTTTTGTAGACCTACAATTTACAACTTATTTTCTGAACTAGATCATCAGCTAAATTCCAACACCATACAAGGTTATTTCAATATTTGAGTCACTCTATACAAATGTATTTAAAAACAATACTGCAAGATTTGTCTAAACCTAACATTAATAGTGATGATCTGCTTTTGGGCAAATTATAGTAATTGTACTGTTCAAAGGGGAAATGGTTGAATAAATTGGTTTCAAAGAAAGTGATTAAAAATTAAAGAGTCTACAAATGATTTTCGCAGTTGGATACACCCTGTGCATACATATTTGGGTTGTAATGGTCTCATGTGCCTCTCCCTCTATCATGTGAATATATGGTAAATGTCTACATCTTGCCATTCTTGACATCTCCGATAGCTCCCCATACATCAAACAAAAACACATCAGGGAAAGCAAAATCTCCCAGAACTGAGTCCAAGGCCTCTGCAAAATCGTCGGGGTTATTCTTGTCTCTGCCCGCTTCCACGATGGTGGTTGCTGCAGAAAAGAAGGGACAGGACAGATGTGATTCAAGATGAGGGTTTGTATTATAGCCAGTTCCTTTGTGCCTGAAAGTATCTAAAAGTGAAAGGATGGCTTGGATCCCCCAGTGATGCATGGATCACCCCCAGTGATGCATAACACTTAATGTAGTTTCATTAGGTCAACAATAGACATTTGCAAGCAATCTTGTCTTGCCTCGCTACACACACATCCTGAGCATAAATCACTTTTTTTCTCACCATTATTTTAAAATGAACCATGACATTCCAACAATATTTGGATGAAAATATTCAACCAAACAATTTCTGTTGGATCAATTATTGGATCAGGAAAACAGGAAGAATATCAGATTAGCCCCGTGAGCCCTTTAAAAAAAAAAAAGTTCTTCCAAAGACCCTTCAAAAGGAGATGGCTTTCTCCTTTTGTGATCTTCTGTAGGAATTAAAGTAAATAGCTCCTAACTGATGCTGAAAATTATTTTTCATCTCTGTATGCACTATTGTTATTGAATTACATTTTTTTTATTTTGGACGTCTGAAACTTTAACCACTTTTTTTAAGGCTTCCTCAGCAGGTGGAGTTTGCTCAATCAAGGAAGAAACGATATGCATGACCTCTCAATGCAAACCAACCTGACTGAGTTCAAATATTACTCTCGTATAACTATCGTTATTATTTCCACCTCAACAAAACACTGAATGCTGGTAATGCAGGTAAAAAATGTTAACTGAAGTACTAAAAAAAAGGCAAGTAATGCAACATCTCCCTGGTGGTACACTTAATTATTACAGTTTATTCGTGGTGAGTATAAATTATCAGGAGGAATTTTCCTTTCATACGGACCTGGCCTGAAGTGTGCTGGTCCTGGTCTATCTCAGCATGCCGGAGAACAAGTTTGCCAGTTTTTTTACAACCCTAAGAAACAGTCCATAGTATCCCCACTCACTCCTGGATGTGTGAACATCCAATGGCTCACATCCTTACATCTAAACATGGATTTAAAGGTGATTTATATTTAAAGGAGACAGGCGTTACCCAGCTCCAGGTCTCTGATGCCCATGTAGCTCTCCAGCAGGTCGTCCACTTTCTTGGTGGCCCGTTCTTCAAACTCATTCTGCTGGCAGATGGAACAGGAAAATACAGAGGTGTTAGTGGAAAATGTGCAGGGCTTGTACTCCAAATATGGACAACAAGCATATCTTCCTCTACCAAAATGTGTATGAGCCAAGCATATATTGGCCTGTTGTTTATCACTTGTCTTTTTGTTAAATAAATATATGAACGTTTATAGTTGAAATTGAGTATTGCTGGTAAGTGTTCATTGCGGTCAAATGTTCTATTTTTATTTTTTTACCTTTTTGTAAACATTTTCCCCCTAAAATATGTTTTTCTAAGTGTTATTGTGGATTCCCTTCAGAGTTTGATGTAATGTGAAGCATCCTGCATTGAAGTTTTGGAAGTGGGAATAATTTGGGGTACAAAGGTCACTTCCGGCAAGCTAAGAAAGAGAGAGACATTGTTTAATGCAGAATAATGTGTGACTGTGTTTGTAACCAGGTCAACTGGGCCATTCAGCTCAGGTCCTTTCAGTTCTATAGTGTCCCATTGGAATCTTTTAGCAAGACTCAGCATAGCCAAACATTTCAATCAGATAATGTTTACGATAAAGAAAGATCAGCTGTAGAATAATTTAACAAAATATTGTTTAATTATCTACAAAACTTCTGTGTGTGTGTTTGCATATTTGCTACTGTATACCATATGTGTACACATGTCACTAACAGAGTACATCAGGAAGTAACACAGTCATTGTTGAGCAGAGTGTGTGAAACTCACCACTTCCTGAACTGTTGCAGACCCCTTTGAGCGAAGACGCAGCGTCTCCCTCCCGTTCACCATCTTGCCTTCAGTCGATTTTGGAGCTCTTGTCCTCATTCCAATCATGTCTAACCACAAACACAAAAACAGGATCTTAATCAATTTAAAAAGACCGTTATTATGAAGTTTAGTCAGTTCCTGCAGGTGTCTCTCACATATTGATTATTATTTTTTCAGAATTTCCAAAGAAACTGATGTTTTGTCAGAAGCCTAAACATAGTTTATTTTTCCAGAGAACTACCCATGTGAATCATGGATTTCCAAATCTTTCCATTTCCAACTGTCTGTGTTAACAATGACATTTCTGACTGTGAATCAGATGCTGAGATCCCATCATCATATCTGTATCCAAACACCTGCGATACTGATCGCATACCCATCAATATCAACTGCATGCTGTAATCATTAAGTTCAGAGCACCGCCTCACACAGCCGCAAATATAGGCTACCTTTAGCTTTCTTTCTAAAAAAGTTAATTTGAACAAATGCCCCCCAGGGTCTGCGTGAAAATGCACATCTGTTTTCATAATGTCACATCAGTTTACAAAAGAGAATTAAACCCTCTCCTGAGGGATGTCAAGGGTCAGCATCAACTACTGTGTCACACGCTAACAGTGTATGGGAATAATACTCAGCAATCATATTTTCCAAAACAGACATGGAATGGTAGGCTATATAACCTTCACTAAATCAAATTATCTCAATAATGTAAAATAGTTACATCAGACCCAAAATGTTCACATAATGCTACATAACTGCATTTTAATTGTTACAAAAAAGGACAATAGATGGAACAGGCCAGCGCTGTGGAACTCAGAGTTGTAATTAGTATAATAATACATTACATGTTACTTGTTAGACGTTTTTATCCAAAGCGACTTACATACTCAATACTGTGGGCAATCCCCACAGGAGCAATTTTGGGGTGAAGTGAACCTGTGCTCCCCTGATCCCAACACCAAAGGCGCGTTCACACCGCAGTACTTTTCCCACTTTAGTTCCGATATAGTTCCGAAATGTTGCGTTCACACCAAAAAGAGCCGGAACTAAAATTAGTTCATGAGAACCTTTTAACCCCCTTTTCCGTCCCTGCTAGAGAGCAGGGACTTTCGTGGGAGAAAAAGGTTCCTATGTCTGATTGGCTGGGCGGATTGCAAACCACGCCCCGTAAAACTTCCAAAAAGTTTTGTGAAGCCGCCATTTTATTATCCTCGCATTAGCATTAGCCCAGTGCACCAACGCAGAGAGACTAACTTATGGCAACACAAAATAAAACATGGGAGCGGTGGAGATGAGGAGGTGTCGGCGTTCTGGCGATTTACTCGGAAGGCTTCAGTAAAAGCTGCTGGGAGTCCCAGCAGCTTCTACTGAAGCCAGTCCCCAACTCCGGGGACTCGTTCTTATTACGTCCATGCGGGGACTTCCGGCCGGGGACTTTGGGCGGCAGTATACGCCGTGAAGTGGTTTGCGGCCTGCCAGTAAACCCAAATCAGAAGGTGTGAATGCGCCTCAAGGGCTCTATCCACTGCGCCACACGCCTCCCCCACTAATACACTATTTACACATCAAATCTAATCTGTTGTACACAGATTTAGCAGCCAGCCATTGTGTGTATGTTTCTATTATAAAGAGATGTATTAACCGCCATGACAATTGTGCCTGGCAGTTTTATACAGGGAAATGGGGGATGCGTTTCTGCTCTGCTCCTCATTTAAACCTACTCCTTTTTCACTGAAAGGACCGTTTACTGTTGTTTCCCAAAACAGGTTGTGGTTTGATCATAATAAGTACACACTTAAAGATGTTTACCAAATGGTTTACATGTGGTTTGTGTTGAGCCTTTTTTACCTTAAACACAGGAGCTCACAAAACAAAACTTGTAAGTTGAAATGGTTGAGTTTGTTTGTTATGTTGTCCCACAGTCGAAGCCAGTTCTTATAACATGAGTTTGTCTGGTGACTGACAATACACTAAGAGCTGCCGATTGTTAACAGGAAATTAGCCCTATGACCATGGATTTAGTATCCGGTGAGATAATAAGTGAGGTTGATGAAAACTGGACTTCAACCTAATCTGCTACATCCACTCTGGAAAGGGGACTTCCTTTGTTCCTCTCAATGTTCGAACCAAATGTAATAAATAGACCACTTATTATACTTTTGACAGGTGAAACATTTGTTGGAAAGGAAAAGAGATAGGCTGCCTTCATTGTAGGGAGATTCTTCAGGAAGATTAGTAAGTGATGCTTATTAGTAAGTGATACGATAACAAATTTGATTGATAATAAAAACATATTTCAGTAACCTTGATATACTGCATTACTATTTTTTGTCACTATTGCCAAAATACTTAAATGTCTCTTAATAGGAGCAGAATTTACCAATATACATTCTATGTTTTGTTTCTGTGTTTTGGTCAGGGTTCTGAAAATAAAAATCCTACCTCACTGAGCCATAGTTTTTCCTGCAGAGACACTTTAGGCTGAGACTTAAGAACAAGACTGGTCAACTAAATGTTAGCTGTTAATGAACAACATTTCCTGGCTCATTGGCAGAGAGCCAGTCATCTCTAAACAGTTCCTGTTTCCTCTACTGGTATGGCTAATGGGATATGGGGAAAGTACAGAAGAATGCTGAAATCCATCAACCACTCGGGCTAGCTAACAGTGGTTGTGGGACTCAGCTGTCGCACGGACAGTCCAATCATAATATCCTGGGTGCAGCTTTTTGCTTTGATATCAATTCCAGATTTATGAATCAATGCCAACACAAACTTCTGGTTCCCACATGTTGAAAGCTATAGCAATATTAGGAAGAACTTAAATGTTTATTTTCCCTTATGAATTCACTTTCGGTTTCTTAATAACTCAGCCCATATGTTTTTTTACTTAGCCAGGAATAGATTTTTACCGTGGAATGAAAGTGAGCATTGTCTTACTCTAGATATGTTGAAATAGTTTGTTTATCAGAATAACATTGCAAATGAAAGCAGAAATGTACTACAAAGTGAACCCCAACTGTAAATAATAAAAGGTTAGCTTTCAACCACTGATTTATGAGCGCATGTTTATAAATCCTAATCGTCATCTGTTCTACATATGACAGTAAAGCCTGGCCACATGGAAATATTTTCCACTCACCAAAGGCCTTCTTGGGCCCCACCAGGCGGAGTGTAAAGGGTATGCCTCTCGGTTGCTCTTTTAGCATCTTAGCCACCTCGTAGTGTCGACAGCCTACAATGCTCTGGTCATTGATGGCCTCGATGTGGTCTCCAACACAGACTGTCTTCAGCTGGTCTATGGTGCTGCCTTCCTTTATCCTCTGAAAGAAACAGATTGAAATGTTTGCCATGTGTCTCACATTAGATTATCAGTTTGAAGCCTTTTACACATTTGTGGCAGGGCTCAGACAGTTTAGCTCTTCCACTCGTTCACCTTGATGAATGCATATCCAGCTCCGTTGTCTGTGATAGTGAGACCCAATGCGTCTTCTGTCTTTGTCACCTCCACCTCCTTGGTCTCCCCCCTGACGTGAGCAAAGATGAAGTCTTCCAATCCGATCTGGCCTCCCAGTAGTTTCTGCATGTCCACTTTATGGGAGTTGAGGGTGCAGAAAAGGATCTAGAGGTAGGAAATAGACCAGTACAACTATAGAATAACAATTGTTTTCAATTTAGTTTTCTGTGTTCTATTTATAAATATTAATAACATTAAAACATACCTTTTACCATTCTAAAGTGCTACCCTGAATCCGTAATGACTTTAAATTGATCCATTAGTAAAAGCTATTAACTTTTTTTATTCAGTTCCATTTCCCAAGGAATTAACTGTTTTTCTTTTGGTGAAAACGTGTGTTGTTGTTAAATTATGGTTTGATCCTCCCTAGCAAGTTACTTTTTATGAAATGAAAGACATATGTTTTGCAAAACATAACAAATAAGCTTCCTTTTACAATACAAGTGGTGGTTATAGTTTCTGTGGTGTTCCTGTAACATTCACTGGTGTTTCTTTTTCTTCCTCCTGTTAATGGAGCCAAATATCATTCCTTTAGCTGTGCTGTATCAGAATGAAACAGCAGAGGGCAGTAGAGACAACAATTTGCCATTGTGGCCATTTTGTTAGGAGCTGTGTGAAAAAGCATTATGAGTGTTTATATATTTTAACTTAAGATGAATGGTTAAGTCAGTCAAAGCACATAAACACATTTTTCTGATAGTTTTATCGATAAAGTGCTTAAATCATTGTTGTAATCAAATGTTAGTTCTTAAATTAAGTGGCTCACACAATTATGATAATAAGAGAATAAACACTTAAGCTAAAGAAATGTTTCTTCTAAAACATGACATTTGAATAAATCTCAAGATCACATTATTAAATACCAGACATGTTTGAGAGGAAATGTCATTTAAAGAACAGCTTTTTACATTTGTATTGCTGTATTGAACTTGTACATTTCTAATATCATGTCTTCAAGCTCTTGAAATAACAATGTCTTACTGTACAGTTTATTTATAGTTTGGAACTGTAATTGCCTTTGGCGGGATTTGCAAAAACAAAAGCTATTTCAAAACAAAGCCTTCTGAAATCTGAGGTTAGAGTTTAAGTTTGACTTAATAATCCAAGCCAGAAATTCAAGATAACCTATGTGAACTGTTATCTCCCTTGTAGCAGTTCCTGTTAGATAGCCTATTGCCCACAGTATTTTCCCAGGTGGAACATTCTGATTACATTCCAAGGACTTCTTTGCCGTCAAACATTACGCTTTATGCAATTCAGTACAGGAGTTCAAGGGAACTGCTATACATCTCACTATCACCGACTAATTGCTTGTTATTTCCCATAGAAAGTCTTGTATCTTGAATTCTAACTGTAGTTCAAGGTCTTGTAGATACACAGGACACTAAATCAACAAATATTTAAATAATGCCCGGCAAAACCATTTGTTTAAGAATAACCAATGTTGATTGTAAAACAAAGCATGCAAGACCAAAAAAGGTGTGTACATTAATCATTTAGATGTCTGGTTTATTTGTAAACTGTTTTTTGAATGACATTTTCTGACAAAAATAAAAAAATATCAAGACTTGAAAGATTTATTTTAACTATTATTATTATTATTATTATTATTATTATTATTATTATTATGTATTTGTTTCAGTGTTATGCTCTACTAATAATCGATCAAAACATGATATAAAGTTCTTATTTTTTCAGAATTGCTGGAGATTATCCCAGCATACACTTTGGAGAATTGACCCTGGACTGGTTGCCAAGAATCCACATGGTTTACATGTAAAGGAAGATAAACACAATAACAGGGAATGAGAGTTGTATGCTAAGTGTTTAAACTGCATGTAATATCAGAAGAGGAGTAAAAGTGACAGCTATGTTTTGTAGGTGTGCTTATTTGATGTGTTTTGATTACCTTGGTAAGTGAACATGGGTTGTTCATTAACATGTAGCGTGCAGGCATAAACCTTGTGTTACACAAAGAAAACAGCCTTCACAAGACATAATCACAGCTGGTAGCTGCCTGATAAGATCTTTAACGTTAGCTATGAAATGTGCTGTATATTGGTCTACATCCCTTTATCTTCAGTCATTTAAGTCCAATAGGCAAGGATACATTGAAAGGAAAACCTTCATAGTGGCCTTCAAACACGCTACTGATAAGTATTAGATAAGGCCAATGTTGAATATTTATTGCTCTGTCTCTGCTTACTGGAGAACCATGCAGGCCACCGTTATTCTTAATAAAAATATAACACTATTTAAATGCAATCCTTGTAGTTTGGAATTGAACTGCACAAATAACCACAGCTGAGTTCCGTAAACCAATTTCTACTCACAAAACGTGCACAGGCACAAGACAGACTATCAGTTTCCTACACCTTAAGTGCTTTGACAGTCTTTACTCAACTATTCATTTCCTCCTATGCATACTTTGATCAATTTATGGCATCTTTTTCCAGTTGATCTGGAAAAAAGGCCTGAAGTAAAAACGAACAAATGAAGCCATTGATAATTCATTCTGTGAAATGGGCCTGTGACGGCCTTGGGCTTGCGGACAGCCCTGACATCAAAACAGTTTAGTGACTAGACCTCTCCTCAAGGGTCCTGGCCTTGTGAGCAGCTGCCTGCTGTAACCTGACTGCAAACCACACATCCTAGTCCTATACCATTTTGGAAATCTGATGTACTTGTTATATTGTATGTGTGGTATTTTGTGACTACATAACATTATCCAGTTAATAATTGTTTCCGTTATTGATCCTGGTCAAGGCGCACACAAGTACAAAGTCTGGCCGACAAAAGTGAGGTCAAATGGTCTTCGATAGTGCATCATGGAAAACAGCCTAGAATGGAAACCTAAAACTATTTGCGGCTGGCCTATCAGACCAGAAAGGAAAAGAGAAATAACACCATCAAACTCCAAAAAACACCATCAGTATTTGTATCTTGATCATTTCTCAAAACACTGGAAATGTCACTTATTAGCCTAATCATAACATGCATGGCAGAATTAGTTTGGTACCTCTGAAGGGGAGATGTGGAACACTTCAGCAATCTTGGCGTAGAGCTCTTTTACGTTGGTGAATCCGTGGATGCGGCCTGTGGGACTCCCATGAGCCAGCTGGGTGTGGAAAATCAGCCTAGGTCTCGGGGTATTCTGGTGTCCCTGGTGGTGGTGGTGAAGGCGGAGGAAGTGGAGGGGCTGTGGGCTCCGCACTCCCCTGATTATGGCTCTGGTTCTGGGCCTTCTGCTCCTCCATTGGCTCTCCCACTGCTGCCTTGGAGTCCTGAGGGCTCATAGCCTCCCCGTTCTGCATCGGGCCACAGCTCAGGTAGGGTCCTCCTCTGGGAGCCCCGGTGCTACACTGCTCTGGGAAAGAGAGACTCTGGCCTTTTCCCCTGCTTAGCAGACCAACCACCCAACCAAATAGCCACCCAGTGCTTTGGGGTGAAGAGCGCAGATGAATAAGTGATAAGTGTAGCCTGGTAACAATAGCTGGAAGAGGACAGCCAGCCCTGCTGGGCAGAAACCCAACACCCTTTGAGTTGAGGACAGCATGTGTTACACCTGAGCTTCTGGCAGCTCACGCATAGAGAACAGAAATAAAACACATTAGGTAAAGGTTTCTTCATAGACACAACACAGTTAAAACTCTAATCCCCCATATCAGTCTGGGAGGAAGACATACATGAACCTGAATATGCGAACATCGCTTTGAAGCGTGAAAATGCCAAGCATATGCAAAACGATTTCCAAAGTGGGCAGCTTGGAGATGGCAACAGACAAAGTCCCAGTGTAACAGGTAAGATGATATCATTGGGTATGGAGCAAGGTGCTCCCCCCTTTGCTGGCCTCTTAAATGAAATTGCCTGTTGCTGGGGTGAATCCTTGGTGATGCTCTGACCTATTTGACCACTGACAGCCCACAGATACAGAGGATGACAGTTACAGCCGCTAAACACATGTTTAATTCATCTGGGTAGTTTGTGCTTCTGGCAAGGTTTTTAAATATCAGTTTTCAACCTGAATGTACGAAAATGTGTGTACACGTGACAGTCCATTAATTAAATAAATAATACTACAAGTTGTTGTTAAACTTGTAGAAACGATGATATACTTTATAAATAAAATATATATATTGAAACATATTACTTAATTTTTTTTTACTAATAATCTTTTTCATATTGGATAAACACTGAAAGGTTATAAACAACATATTTCTATTTTCACACATTTTCTCATGTGATGCGTTAATCATTTGCAAACCAAAGATGCTGTCATGGGCACGGAAAGCTATCTATCTCTCTATCAGATCGGGAAATTCCACAAAAATCCCATTTTTAAATTTGCTGGGAATGTCTAAATTACCTTTAAACAAAAGATTCTTTCAGGCTGAATGGCACTGCACAAGAGGTTTGAGATGCATAAGTAGTCGATTGATTTCAGGACTGTAGCCCAGGACTCTACTGATCCTTTAGAGCTGTACTGATCTTTAGGACTATATTGATCCAGGACTACACTGATCCATGGCTGTACTAATTCAGGACTGTACTGGTCCATCAGTAAATGCATACCATGTTTACATTATTTATAATATTAAGACAAACATATAAATTCCATTTATTGTATAGAAAAGGGCTCAAGCCTTTTATGTATCTGTTTTACTGCTTCATAAGCATTATTTTCCACCTGTGCTGTAACGTGCATGGCTGCAGCTGTTTGTGCGTCACAGCCTTGTTTTTTCCAGGCCAAGGTGTTGTCAGCCTCTGAAGGTCAGAGTGTTTAGATCATCAGCTGATAATAATGATCTTCCTAACAAATCATACCTTTTCAAACAGAAACAAGGCAGACCGCTAAGTGAAGGACATCTCCTTTTCTTTTATTGCAGAAAGATGACTTAGCATCAATTAGTCACATCAGTGATAACTGAGCGACTTGGTTCCCAAGATGTGTAATTGGAAGCACAAGTTCCAATATTTGTTGGAAACTATTTGTTTAACAAGATAAGACATCTGTTTTAAAGTTGTCAATATCAAAAAGTGGCTATTGCACAATTCCAAAGGACTTCCATCCACCTTAAATAAAGTTGATTGATATTCACAGACAAACAAATCAATCAAAATGTTTATTTAGCTCACAATTGTCTCTGAAAGCCTTATTATGCATTTTCTGAAATGTTTAAAATGTGTATTTTCTGGTAAAAAAGGTATACAATTTATCTTAAGGTATTTGCAGCCACTGATTCAGTACAGGTTAAGGCAAAGCCTTTTTTGCTCATTTTCAAACTCAGCTCTGATTATGCAAGTAAAATGTAAATGTTATATAACAGATTGCCTTAAGTACTCTTCAATGGGTATGTATTACGTTACGGAGAAGTACAAGAGAAAGTATTAAGACTTCAAATATGCTTCCCCTGTTTGCAAAATTATATTTCAATGACGCCCTTCTTATGTGACTATTCTCTCATTGGCTCTGAACAGATGGTGTGCAATTAACAAATATTGACTAAATCAAGAGTGATTTATTCAGGGTCAATGAATCAGATGTGGGTTTTATGCGACTTAAAGCATTTATAGTGACAAATACAAATGTTCCTTATATTTTATTTCCTTAGTTTATGGTTTCCACACGGTTTTCATCCAGCAGTGTTGGTCTAGTGTGCTGAATGTGGTTTTACATCAAATTGATATCTGACTGACTGACGCACAGTGCCTCTTTACAAGACAGCGCCTCAAGGTTTTGATATTGTGCATCCTTCATATTCCAAAACGAATGACCTCAAACCAATTGACACACTGTGATGCTGGGGCTTTTTGTGAGTCCTGAGTCTTTGCGTAGTTCCCCACGTTCCCCAATTATCTATCCAGCTTTCTCACTGATGAATCACACACACACGCTGTTATTTACATTTGATCTACACCCCTTACTGCGTCACATCCTTCTTTTTGAAGCGTGATTTCTTCCTCTCTATCGGCTTTGTTTAATGGAGAGGGAGATGGAAGGGGAGACCGTGGGCTGGCCGGTGTAGGCCAGATTGTGTGAGTGGGTGGGTGGTGTGTATGGTGTGTCATGATGTGATACACTGCCTCTTCTGTTTGTGGTGGTGTGATGGCGCCTGAGCTGCCTGGTCATAAAAAAAGACCTTTAGATGCTAAGATTTGAGTGCATTTCCCTGAACGCCTCCTGATAATGATTGGCTTTTGTATTCAAGGTCTCCATCAATAGAGTGGTGATATACTCTTGATACCTCAGTACTATTCACTATGTCTGAATGTCTTTCATTTTTGTAAAGCACCTTGAATTGCCTTGTGTTGAAAGGTGCCATATAAATAAATTTGCCTTACCTATGACTTCTTATAATGCTGTTACTTATTTTCGTTCCTATGAATGTATTTGATTGTATTTAATGTTACTGCACTAATCTTGTTTATGGCTTTTTTTTCACCATGTCTTTGCTGGAACAGAGTAAATTACCTTTCTGTGGGACAAATAAAGAATTTCTTCTGAAAGCTGTGTTGTAATAAGACTGAACTGTGTTTGTAAGGATGTGATGTATTTATGACACAACGACACATTTGTGGACAATAACTACAAATAATCAATAGGCCATATTGTCACTCTCACTATATAAAATTCATTGCGTAACCTAACCAAACCAAGGTCAAAATTGTGTCAGTGTATAAACACTTCAATTTCAACTGAATTTTGAATAGAAGAATAACCCAACCAGAACATCCTTCCCCATCAGCATTGTGTCTCAATACGCCACCCCTCTAGAGCATAATCCATTTGTAATCACATAAGGTAGTCACAAGAACCACCGTCATCCGTTGTGAGTACAATGTGACATAGCTGATGATTTAGCTTTGGCCTTGTGCCCTTGGTCTGCTGACAGCAGTTGTTGCCTTTTTTCCCCAGGAAGATGAGAGGCCCCTACATTAGCTGCTTGCATAATACTAGGCTGAAATTAAGTGTATTATTCAGAGGCATCAGAATAAAAGCCACCAACTGAGCCATTGACCAGCCTTCTTTCTGTGTCAGTGCCCTCCACTTCATTTTATAAGAACAGGGACTTTGGTTATTATGATTCATGAGGTTACAGTGAATTTACAAATTTACATTATTGGTGAAGTCAGTACTTGTCTGCCACTGCTTCTCTTAAAGGGAAGGTTGGTTTGATTATAGTTTTATAAAAATAACTACACATATGGGTATCATATCAAGACATAAGAGCTATTTCCTGTTACATTTAATCATATGTATGGTGTACATTTACAGGGCCTCAATACAATACAATTCTGCTATAGTTGGTTGATGTTAAGCAGAATGCAAAACAGGCCCCACCCTGGTGTGCCGACAGCAGTTTTTTTATTTTTTATTGGATTGAGCATAGTGTGATGTGGAAACGAAAACACTTTTGTTATAACACAACGTGTATTTACCAAGTTGTTCACAGGTGGAACGTAACAATCACATGTTTATCATTAGTTAAAAGGACACCGCTAGCACAACACATAAGTCCTGCTGTAGGTCTCAAGAGAGAGACCACCCTGCTACCATATATGGTAATGGGCGGTCGCTGAAAGCCAACTACCCCGTTCTGATTGGAGGGCCAGTCTGACATGACCGATTTTTTACAATCGTCATCGACGCTGATTGGTCGGCTGACTTGGTCCGATTTCGGCTCATTATCTTAATCAGCCGTGGATGGAGTGAGAGAAAAAGAAAGCAGAAGCCAAACAGGAACGGTGGAGTCTGGTGTGGACCGTCGTTTCTACACGAACCGACGACCACTGGCTGAAAGAAGAATGCTTGAAAACAAGAGAGAGAGATTGAAAACCTTCCTCAAGAAGATCGACGAAAAGGCCATCGTCAGACTTAAGCACTTCATGAAAGAAAGGTAAGCGAATGTGGCTAGCTGAACCGCTATCTGCCGGTGATCATCATCAGCCGGAGGATGCTAACGGTTAGCATTTCTTTGATGAGGAGACAACCTGTCAAACTATTGTTTATCTCGCAAGATTTTCCTTTAACACAGAACCAATAAATATCGTTTAGAATTGTACATCAGCTGTGCATAAGGGGTCAATAAGTATTTCAGTCAACGAGTAACGTTAGAATATGCTAGCAGGTTAGCCACCCTCCTGGCTGAGGATGTGAAGGCATTTTAAACGACTTTACATCTAGCTAACATTACCATCATCAATTACACTATAACAACTGTACGTTGTGTTCATTGTTGTCTACTGAGTTTTAATATATCGGTGTACACGCTGGCTGGTGATAGCATCTTTGCAATATTAGTGTACACAGTGT